AGGGCCCTTCTTACGGAGCTCGGAGCACAGCATCCACGGTCTGGCAGCACTGCGTCCACACCAAGAGCAACCTTAATGAGGGAAAAGTCAGATTGGCCCGCTGGGTGGTAGGCGTGGGGGCGTGTGAAAGAGGGAAGGGTCTGTGACCAGATTAGCAGCTCTGATCACTGGGCAGTGTTGGAGAGGGTGACTTACTCACCACGGTGTGTGCCTGAGCTGCAAACCTTTTCTTTTTTCTACATAACCCACTGAGTCACCTCCTTCTGCCTGACGACCTGCCTCCCTGTGTCCCTGCCCAGAAGGCCAGCCCCTCACCTGTTTTCCTAGCTCTGTTGGCTCCCAATCAGAGAATAAAACAACATTTCCTCTGGGCCCTCGTGGTGGGGGGCTTGTCTATGCTCTTTATCATGGGGGCTGGTGGAGGCCTGAAGGCAGGGACTGTGGTGGGTCCTCGCGCTTGGCTGTGTCTTGCCCTGAGATGGAGAGGAGCGCTGAAACTGAACAGGAAAGAGCTTGGAAATGTACATTTGGCCTTGGTCCCAAGGCTCTCTCAATTCCCCCGGGTCAGTTCCGGGCCCCTAAAGAGCTTCGATTCTCTGGTTCTGAGACGCAGGAACAAAGGAGCAAACGTTTTTCTGAGGTTACCAAACCACTCTCTTGCCCTCTACTGCCTCCATGCCGTGGCCAGGGCTGGGCGGAAGAAGGAAGATTTTCAGAGTGGACATCCAAAGTCAACAGGTGGGGTGTCAGGTGACAGGGCCCAGCCCCTCTCATAAGCCACTGGGGTCCCCCTGAAGACTTGCTGCTTCCTTGTTCCTGGTCTGAGCCTGGCCTTTAGCCCGAGGTTTGCTTGGCGGGCAGCCATTGGAGAGATATCCCCTGTGGTCCCCTGCAGCCTGTGCCCATCCGAGCCTCAACAGTCCCACTGTACGATGGCGTGCAATTGGCTTCTCTCTGGTCACAGATACTTTAATTAATTTTCAGTCGCCGGCGCTGCTCAAGTGGAGGAGAGTGTGGGTGAATGGAAGAGTTTCGACAAGCTGGGTCTCCTAGCCGGCCCGCCTTGCCCATGTCAGGCTCTAAAGAAGCCAGCTCCCCAATGCTTTCATCCTGATCTCTTGTCTGGAGTGAAGTGCAACATCTTCAGACAAACTGTGGGAAAATTTGTAAAGTGTCTTTGGTCTTGATCATCCTGGCTCTCTTCCTCCGATCTAAGATACCCAGGGTTGGGGAGCCAGCATGTGTCACTTTAGGGAAGGAAGTGGCCCATAGTGGCCCTCTACACTCAGAGCCAAACTGGTAGAACTAGATCAAGGCAGCAGACAAGCGAGGGGTAGGAACTTGGCCAGAGGTTGGATGAGGCAGAGCAAGAAGACTCTAGATGCTAATCAGGGAAGATGCCTCCTCCACAAAATGGGACCAGGAGGCAAACAGGGGCCTCCTGACCCAGGGCCTCAATGCTCGTGATTTCTACAGGTTTCTGAAAGTGTAATGCAGGGACCCCCCTGTAACTGGCTCCTCTCTGCTGCCCCCGGGGTTTCAGCGGACCCCTTGGAGAGTGGGCCCTAGGGTGACAGCTCACATCCTTGCGGACAGTGACCAGAGCCGGTTGGCCTGGAAGGGCCAGTGCTACCTGTACTTAAATGAGAAATGGAAGGCTTGTTGGCGCCGGACCCTGCACACGGGGCCACCTACAGAGAATACGTTTCCTTTTGTGCAGGATCTCCATTCTCCATTCAATGTTTGTCAGGCTCTTAGCCCCGGATTAACTGCACCAATGGAAAATAATCACATAATCTGTGTCTACTTGGCTGAAGTGAAGTGTAAGTCCTTCTCTCTTTGGATGCAACTGGAACTATTATTAAATGGATTCTGTATTTCCCAGACCCCACTGGATCCTGGAGGAGAGGAAGAAACCCCCAAAGTCTTAGCGAGGAACATGAGAAGTCAGCTGTGGGGTCAGGTGTTCGCCCTGAGTTACTGGGAGAGAGGGACACCCCTGCAGGTGCTTCGGACCTGAGCTCTATTTGTACGAATGCTGGGGAGGACCTCAGGGCCCTGAGTGAATTTTTAGCTTTTGGTTCCAGCTCCCTGAACTTTTCCACTTCACTTAGCCAGGACAGGGATAAGCCAGCTCAGTGACTGAAAATAACGAATTACTGGAAATGGTTATGAAACATTTTACACGCAGGCCTAAAGGAGGAAAACAAAGAAGGCTCTAAAACCTTAAACAGGGAAGAGCCTGACCAGATATGCAGGCTGTAAGTCCAAGCACGGAGGTACTGCATCGTGATCAGGGATCTAGGCTGCAGCCGCTCTGCATTCAGTCCCCACGAGTGTAGCTACTTCCTGTCTCTGGCCTCAGTCTTCTCGTCTGTAAAATGGGACTCGTCATACTAGCCTTACAGAAATGTTGCATCAAATGCAACATGGAATGTTAAAGCTGCTAGGGGCGTGCCTGCTATGTAGAGATACTTAAGGAGCAGTAGCAGCATTAATAAATAGCGAGGCGAGAACTGGAGAGGCTTTTTTTGTCCCCTAATGCAGAGAAACTGCCGGATCATAGGAAAGTCAATGCTTCTCTGTATCTTGGATTAGAACCCTCCATGGACAATTCCCTGATTCCAGCTTCAGAGCTGGAGTGTCTCACTGACCCTCATCCCACAGATGTGGGTGTCATGCTGGCTGGGGGTATGAGATTAAAAGCCAAGCACTGACAATACCCAGTGGTGGACTTGATCTGCTCAGCCTGCTTGGCCTCTGGCCTTTTAAGTCCAGGCTCCTGCCCCTCTCCAGGCATCCATTAGCCCATAAAGGAGAGCTGTAAGCATTCGGGGCTGCCCCACTTCCTTCCTGGCGAAGATTTCATTCAGATCTTATCTCTGCTCAGCTCCAAGGACTTTGATCTTGGCTCTGTTCCATCCCTTTGAACATGCACTGGCTCCTCCCGCTGGTGGACCTCGGCTTTCCCTAGAACACCCTGATCTGGCAGCCTTCCCCACTTCTGGAAGCTGCCTCTGACTCCAGTCCCTTAGCCGACACCCCTCGCCTTGTCCCCTACTTCCCTAGATGGGGTGGTCAGGCAGGATGCCCCAGCTGCTGAATTCCAGACAGGATCACAGGAGATGGGAGGGAGGAGGAGGTGGGGGTCAAAACCAGGAAAGGGGTCAAGGGAACTTTGTGGGAGGGATGGGGTCTGCTCCTTCCTCTCAGAGCAGGAACAGGAGAGTCTTGTGTGGTTTTATGGTTCAGTGCAGGGATTAGCAAGTTATGGCTCTTGGACCAGATACAGCTTGCCGCCTGCTTCTGTAAATCAAGTTTTGTTGGAACACAGCCAAAGTCATTCGTTTATGGATCGTCCTGGCTGCTTCTGTGCCGCCAGGGCAGAACAGAGTCTTTGCAGCAGAGACTGGACAGCTTGCAGTCTACAGCATTTACAATCCGGTCCTTGACAGAAAAGCATTGCTAACCCCTGGTTTGGTGCATCAAGCTTCCCAAACAAGGAGAGATTTGATGAACGCAGTCTTGTGAGGTTGCTTCACCAAAACATAATAGCCCCAAATCCAGAGAAACGCTTGTAATGTCCCTGCCCTTCCAGGACTATTCACAATGCACCTTGGTGTATTAGAGTGCTCAAAAAATCCTGCGCAAAACCTGTTTGTTGTCTAACCCACATTTCCCAAACTTCTCTGGTCTACCAAACCTTTTTCTCGGGACGCGTCTTAACAGTCCTCAGAAGCTAGGGTTCTGTGATGCCCCTGGAACACACTAGGTAGGTGGAAGGACCCAACACAGGCTGGGATCTCCCTCATCCCTGCTCTGATGAGCTGAGTGACCGTGACTGAATTATACACCTGTAGGGCCTGCTTCCTCATTGGCTGGACGGGATAACCGTGGCTGTCCTCTCTCTCTTACAGGCGGTTCAGGCAGGTCACTGAGATCGTGTGCATGACAAGGGTCAGGAGCTAGGACTCTGGGGTCCTTGACTGTTGATGATGAGTTTTGCTCCGATACCTTGTTTAGCAAAGGCGGAGTGGGGAAGGCACGAGGTCAAGGTTGTGAATTCCCTTTTCTAGCCCTCACTCTGCTATTCCTAACTGGGTTAATTGAGGGACTTTCAACAAGTCACTTCCCCATGGGGCCTGAGTTCCTTCACCCTGGGCTACCGGTTTTAGACTGGTTAATCTCTGAGGGTCTACTAGCTCTGCAATTCTGTGCTTCCATTTGGTTATGACAGGCAACTTCCCTACTCACCCCGGTGGCTCTTTCTCTCCTGAACCTTGCAGACCGCATCGCGTTGATTGGACCGGAGCGCGTCTGCGGTCAGCCCCAGCTACGAGGAGGTAACTAAAGAAGGATTTCTGGTGCTGCTGACAGCTTTGGAGGCAGGGCTGAGCCTTCTGGGAATGTCTACCTGACAATTCTTGACTTGATAGGCTAGCTTTTCTAGGCTTGCCTTCTCTTCTCTCCCATTGCTCAAGGGCTGCTCTGTCCAAACATGCAGTTCAGACAGCCTGTTGACAGATCCAGCAAAACAAAAGCATAGATGTGAGTCCTGAAAAGACAGTGGGCCTAAGAGTGGAGCAAAATTCCCCCAACAGGCATGAGGTAAACTGACGATGAAGCAGAATCCACATCAAATTCCTCTTTGCCACCTTCTCTCTTATCTGCCCCTCTGACCACAGCCATTTTCCAGCTTCATCAATGGTCCTTGATATCACGGATTTATTTATTTTTCTTTGATAGCACAGATTTATAAGCAGTTGAATAAGAGGAGCTTTATGAAGAAGATGCAGACCTACTGAAAATCCCTCCTCTTCCATGAATTTAGGAAAATCCCAGAAAATCTTGACTGGGTCAAAAGATTGACAGCGTGATAAGTATGGGGCCAAATGGGGAGGGATGAATTAGGGACAAGTGTTCTTTCCTTTTTTAGGGGGGAGCAGGGAGTAGGTAATTAGGTTTGTTTATTTATTTATTTATTTATTTATTTATTTATTTATTTATTTATTTAATGGAGGGACTAGGGATTGAACCCAGGACCTAGTGCATGCTAAGCATGCGCTCTACCACTGAGCTAGACCCTCCCCTTTGCCAGTGCTCTTCTTTTTGTTCCCTATATTGGGATCTATGGGGTCATCTAGGAGACTCCAAAATCCCAAAAGGGATTCAGAGCATCTTCGTGGGCAGGGTCCATTCAGTCACAAATATTTATTGGAGGCCCTACGGAGTTGAAGTTCTCTGGGGACACAGTGAGCTGGATAAAACACAGTTACTGCCCTTAAAGCTTAGAATCTACCTGTAAAGAATATAATTCAGTGTGTGCAGCAGGCTGAGCGTGAACAGATGTCAGAAAGCTGGGTGGCGGGGGACCTACCAAGGGCTAGGAGTGATGGCTGACAGGAAGCCTCTCATATTTTCAAAATTCCAGGAACGGAAATTGCACTTTTCCAGGTTCACTGACCTCCACCAGTAATTAACAAATCCTTTCTTGCAGGCTTCTTGGAGTCACACTGTCGCCTTTGGCTGTGGAAGACGCTTGGCCCAGTGATGTTCAGGCTTTGCTTCCCCAGATGGGGTCCCAGCTCCCCCAACTTCCCTTCGTACAGGCGGGGGAAGGAGAAGAGGCTGGGGTCATGGTGTTTGGTCCTGGTCTTCCTTCTACAGTGGCTGAGCAGCTCATCCTTCTACTCCTTGGGGTCCAGGGTCCCTCTCTGGGGCAGTCAGGCTGCATGGAGATGGGGAGGGTCATCCTGGAGCAGCTTCCTTCCCACCTGGGCCAGCAGATCAGGCTGGACGCTCAGCTCTGGGGACTGTGTCATCTGAATCAAGGTGACCTTCAATGACTTCTTTATCTCCTGAGCTGCACAGACACAGAGGACACTGTGAGGGCCCTGGGTGCTGAATTCAATTTCCTGAGAATCCCCTGCTCCCACCACAAGTCTTCAAGAATTTTCTGACACAGAAAACTTGGAACTGAGATCCACCAGGATTGGGCCAGGCCTTCAGGGCCCTGGGTCTAATAATCTTAGCTCCCAGAACATCTCACCCTTCCTTCACCAGGTCTAAACACCATGGAACACTCCCTTTAGGAGTGTGTAAATCTGGGCCCGTTGCTGTAAGAGACTTTCAGCTGGGCCGTGCAGAGAGGGCAAATGTAGTTTGGTTCCACATCTGGGCCCTGCACTCCTGCTACCTGCAGCCAGGGCTGCTCGTGTAGTTCGTACACCTACAGTTGGCCACTTCTTGCCATCCTCCGAAGAACTTCTCCTAAAGCTCTGGGATGCCACTGAGACCTAAATGCTGGATGCTTTTCTCATCTGATTGATAAAGAAATCAAGGAAGGCCCAGCTCACGAAATGGCTCAGACTAACATTTCTACATCTAGGAGTCCTGGCACCAAGTCTGACCTCACCCAGACCTGAGAGTGTCAGGTGGAAACAAGCGCTCCCCTCTCCAGCCTTGGGGGCGACTTTCAATTCCACTCACAGTTCCTCTTTCTCTGGAGCTTCCTTCGCAACAGAACAAGAGCCGCCAGCGTCAGCAGGAACAGCATGGTGGAGAGTGGAGCCAGGACCCGAGAGATGCTTGTCCCTTCCAGAGGCACACTGGAGCGGAAGTAGCAGGAGTGGGGATGGGAAAGCACAGGAGAGGTGAGGTTGGAGCTGGGCAGGGGTCTGAAGACCCTTCAGCCCTCATCTCTCGTTCTACAGGGGAGAAGCAAGCCGGCTGTCCTCACTCCCATGGAGGGCTGGCTACAGAGCTGGGACCAGACCCCTGTCTTCAGGGTCCCAGGCCCTGCATCCTTTTCCCTACTCCACTGCCTGTGCGTGGGCCCCACTGATGGGCCACCATGCAAAAGAGAACTGAGTGAGGTCAGGGAATCTAAGCTTGGCACTGGGCTCTGCCACAATCTTTCCTTGTGGTTCACTGAGTCACCTCCCCTGCTGGAGCTTTGTTTCCTGATCTTAAAAAAAAAAAAGTCCCAAAGGTCCCACCTAAATATTCTGTTATTTTATTGTTGAGATTTTTCCTTGAAAATCACATGAAAATACCCAGATGGCATTCTCCCAGCAAGGACCCTTGAATGAGGGAGGATTCTGACTTTGCATCCCTTGCTTTTTTACTGTCTTGCAGTTACAAAAGGGAGAGGAGAGAGCAGATGGAGAGGGGCACATGGGTCAGCTCACTGAAGGGGCCTGGAAAGGGATGGGGCAACCAAGAGGGGGTCCTTGGGGTTTACCTCTTCATGGAGGAGTCCTTGCCTGGGGGCCTGAGGGGCCCTGCTGCCAGGGCCTGGCTCGGCGTTGCTTGGGGACCACCATCTCCAGCAGGGGTGTCTAGGTCCCTTTCACCGCTTCCCTCAGCAGAGGCCATCTCTATGCTGGTCGGCCCCAGGGTCCACACAACTGCAGCTGGTGTAGTTCCTTCAATGGAGTCCAGGGCTTGTGGCTTAGAAACCAACGTTTCACCGTGGAGGGTTGTCCACATCCATTTTTCTAAGACCCAGTTTGATGGCCTAATTGTCCCTATGACCTTCCCAGCTGTGTGCAGGGCTGTACTGACCCTCTGTGTTTCCCCTCTTTGCCCATCCGCCCCAGTCGTTGTCGCCCTCTCTCTTCTGCTGGCCCTGGTCCTGTTTGCGTCTGAGCTTCTGGTACCCCAAACCTTAGCAGCTTTTGTAGTACTGGACACACTTTTGATTGTTGAAGCTGGACTCAGTGGAGTGGGGACCGTTGCCCAGATGGGACCCCCTACCTGGCCACCTGTCCCTGGAGCTATGGTCGCAGTTGCTTCTGGGGTTTGCCTTCCCTTAGCTAAAGCTGTTGTTTTGCTAGTGTCTAGAGTCAGAGTAACACTGTCCCATCCTGTCCCCTGTCTTTCTATAGTCTGGATGGTTCCACGTGTCCATCTGTTGGCTGCTGGTGATGCTGTTTCAGAGGATCCCATGTTGGGCTCACCAGCAGCCGGAGTGGCTGTGGGGATGGTTCTGGAAAGACCTGTGTGAACAGCAAAGGAAAACCAAATGAGAAAGCTATCCGGGTTGCCTATGGCATTTAGCAATGATGCCAGTCTTGAGGTCTTTGCTATGTGGAATGGGACCTCACTGAGCAATGCAAACTTTGGCCAGTATGTTGGACAAAATAAAACATTGGGAAAACCAGATTTATCCTCCACTCTGTTGCAAATATTGACACTTTATGTTCCAATCTCCTTCTTTTATGCCCACATGCTCTCTCTCCACTTGCCCCAGGACCCCATGCTGTCCCCTTTCCTAGAAGCCCACAGCCAACCATGTATTTCTCTTCAAATAAGAAAAAAAAGAATTTTAGTTGCATTAGAGAGGGCAATCACAGCAGACGGTTAGATTGCAACATCTAACCAAACAAGCCCACCCTCCGGTGCTCTCGTGCCTGCCTGCACCATCTCTCCGGCAGACTGGCCTTTCACAGCCTGGATGCCCTGCGTGTCTGCACACTCTGGGCACCTGACTGGGGACCATCTCTGTGGAACTGGCCACCCAGGGCGTGGACCTGGTAGCTGTCGGATGTCTGCTGAGGAGCTCAGTCTCAGGAAGAGCCCAGTCCTCATTCTTCTGTCCTGCCCGTCTTACCTGCCCTGCAGGTCTGAACAGACATCATGACCATAAGACGCCACATTATGCAATTCACCACCTTCATGGAACTCTCTTCAAATATATATGCCTCAGCATTTGGAGGGAATTGGGTAGAACAGCTTACTTGGCGGGGAGGTCTTCCCTAACACCTATCTTCCCTCTGAAGGGGGTTTCCTTCTGAAATGAAAGCCTACATCTTAAAGCCCTTGCCCTTCCCCAGCTTGTCATCATCACTTCCTTAGTGTTTAAAGCCCCCTTGGACCTCAGTATCTTCTGTTGCCCCCTACCTCCAGCATTCATTTCACCAAACTTGCCCCGCTGGCCAGCAGCCCATACCTGCAGAGACGGTCAGGTTCATGCTGAAGAACAGCATGTCGTTTGAGTTTCCAATGCCACAGCGGTAGCACCCCACATCCTCCAGGGACAGCTGGGACAGCCTCACCACAAAAAAGCCTTTGTGCGGGAAGTCTGTTAGAGACACGCGGCCGTGGTAGTGTCGCTGCGTGTAGTGGTTGGTGGAAACGACAGTGTGGCAGAGCCACGGCCGGGGGCTCAGGCGGCACCAGTACTTCCTCTGGTGGCTGTTGATGAGCAAGGGGGCGTAACGGCACTGGATGGTGACAGATCCCCCAAGCTCCCCAGACACCAGCCTCGGGCCCTTCAACGCATTCGCAGCTGCAGGCAGAGAGAAAAAAATAAAGTCCAAGTGGAAAGAACACTGAATTTGTCACTGTTTGGGGGAGATTTGAGCTCCAAACTTGGCCAGAATTAAGGGGCAGTTCAGAAAATAACCTCTGTGAAAGTGAAGGTAAAAAGAATCAATACAGACCTTGTCGTATAATTTTTTTTATATCTAGTAGTTAGTATCTGCAAATTCCAAACTCCCAATTTATCCCTCCCCACCCCTTTCCCCCTCTGTTAACCACAGGTTTGTTTTCTGTCTGTGGGTCTACTGTACAGCACAGAGAACTATATTCAATACCTTGTAATAAGCTATAATGAAACAGAATATGAAAAGGAATATATATATATATATCTGAATCACTATGCTGTATGCCAGAAATTAACACATTGTAAATTGATTCTACTGTAATAATAAAAACAAAGAATCAATATAGAAATATCAGAGTTTAGACATTAGGTCAGGAGTAGCCCCAAGATATGGGCAGAGCTGTGTCCAAGTTTCCATCAGAGAGATGGAAATGCAAGAATAATATTACCCACTACTTAGCTAACCACTGTTTAGCTTCTCATGTGCCAGGGGATTTTGTGCATGTCTGTCCAGAGCCTGGGTTCATTCCACTGGGCTCCAATGCAGATGTTTAAAAAGCTGCCCTCTGCACCTGTGAGAGGGCCAGGGCAACCTCTGATGGAAGGGCTGTGGTTTGTTTGCATGGAATGTAAAGGAGAGATGTGAAATAATAAGAACAGATGAGTGTGCTTTCTGCTGAAAGGAGACAGTGCCCGGAGGTACAAGAATCGTGGTCTGCTTGGTGGGTACATCCCCAGACCAGCGCTTGCGGAGATGTTCATTCTGGCCACTCTTTTCTAGAAATGGAAACAAGCAAGTGCCACCGTCAAGGCACAGAAAAGCAGTATTGTGACTTTGCCTGCTTTGGTAGTAGGCTTAAATCACAGTCGAAGCACAGTATATGGCCCTTTTACTGAATGCCTTAAATTTGACCGGATGCAAGCAGAGACACAGTTTATTCTCTCTCTCACTGTGTCTTCAAACTCCCTCTGTGGACTTCTCGGCTCCTTGATGAAATCTCAGGCATAATTTCAAGAACAGTAGCTTTCATAGTCTTACTTGGAGAAGAAAAAATCCAGTCCAATGACTGTTGCATCTCCAATCTTACCCAGTTCAAGCCTTTTCCTTTCTCCCAACTACGCTCGGAGGCCTGGTGTGGAAGCGGGGGGCAGGTCGGGGTCTCTTGCTCCACTTGACCCCTTTCTCTACTCAGAAGTGCTGTTTGGAGCCCCTCCGGGATTGAGTGAGGAGGGAAGAGGGGAGAGGTGTGTGGGCAGTTGTGATTGTCTCGTGCTGCTCAGGGCAAGCTGATGTCCTGTGCTGAGTCCTCTTTTGCCTCCCAGGTCCCCTTTCCTGCTGGTCTTTTATGACTCCTCCATCACCACCAACCCTATGACTTTGGGCCACACTCCTCTCTGGGGGGCCCTCTTGGTGGAGGTCCCAGGCCAGCTCCTTTCTGTGGGACCCACATGTGGCCCTAGGAAGCACATCTTTGTCCTGCTGTCAGGAGAGACCTGGGACACATGGCAAGCTCACTGTCTTCCTAGAAGTTCCTTCTCTTACCTGGCTTCAAGTGGGGGGAGGGGGAGGTGATCACTCTTGTTCTCCAGGGGCAGGTGGCAGAGAGCATAACACACTGACCACTCTCTCCAAAACAGCTCTCCTGCTCTCTGACAGCTCTTCAGGTGACTCCATGCTGGGCTCTCGCTGGAACAACCAGCTTCGCCATCTCTTTCCAGAGTCCTGCCCAGATGAGTCAACATCTTGTTTTGAATGTGGTTGCCTGACATCTATCAATTTGTTCTATGTCTTTAGCACCTCTGAACCTAAGAAAGTTCAAGCCTGTTGCCAGGACTGGCTACATAATCTGCAAGGCCCTGGGACAAAATACAAAGGCAGGACCCGATGTTCAAAAGCTGTTCAGGATCTCACTATGGCAATAGCAGAGCATTAAACCGAGCACCTTCTCCACGGGGCCCCGTGTGACTGCACGGGGCACATGCCTAGAACGCTGGCCCTGCCTGTTGCTTTTGTCTCAAAGTCTCATCATAGGAAGAGTCAAAGCCACAAATGTTATGGATAAATCAGTAATCACTGTAGGTTTAATCAAATGACCCACGACAAGCATGCCACTATTGATAAGAGTTAAATGGCAACTTACTGTTAAAAACCAAAAATATTTATAATTACCAACAAGAAACCATCTCAGGATGACAGTGATGGTGCCCCAATAAAGGGTTCACACCCCGGATTTCAGGAATCTGTGTGTGATTTACACGTGGTTTGGGCGGGAGGATTAATGCACCCTATTTGTCAGCAGGAAGGGAAGTTCTGACTTTGCAGTTGAAAGCTGATTAGGGATTGCAACTCTCGCAATGAACATTTCTTTCTTTTATTAATACCAAATTGCACTTACCCTCAAGAACTCATTTGGGAGATGAGTAGCTCTTGCTTGTATGTAATTAAGGTTTTTGGAATTTTCTACTAGGTGTCTAGGAGAATTAAAGGAAGGCTGGCATTTTAGGACCAGTGATGTCCCCCTCAAAGGGTCCCTTCTGTGAGGGTGGTGCCCCTATTCTCCTTCACCAGTCACCTCCCGGCTGTTGTCATTGTATGGCTCCAATCAGATTGGGACTGCCTCGGGGGGAGACTGGAGCCTGACTTGGTCAGAGGAAGTGCAAAGGGTCTGCGGTAGGAGCAGGGAGAGCAGAAGTTGCCCCAGAGATGGAGCGCTCCTCCCACCAGCAGAGGTGGGAGGAAGGTGTGCGTGTTTCCCTGGGGAGAGAGCCAGCCCAGCCGCCTGAGTTGGGGTCTTTCGCCTGGAGGGGCCAAAGCAGAACCTGGGGCACAGGGAGGAAATGAGCCATCAGGGGGCCATCTAAGGGTCCACAAGACACTCAACAGAGGAAGAGCGAGCCCTAGACCCCCGCCCGGCCGGCCAGAGAGCTCCAGATCATCCCATCAAGTAAGACCTGCCTGCCTCCTGCCTCTCCTCCCACCCGCCGCTGTGACCCTGCTGGGATCCCAAACGCCGGCTGCTTCCACCTGGAGGAGAAAGAGCAGGGGAGGGGAGAAGGCGGCCCCTAAACCCCCTCCTGCCTTCCTGACTGCAGATCTAGGCTGGCGAGGGGGGCGTATCTTTGAATGAAGATTAAACTGCTAACTAAAATACTTAGCTGGACACTTAACATGATCAAATTTAGAACTTTAAAGGAATTAAGTTAGGACTATCACCTGTACTTTAGAAGAAAAATTGTGAGCTTGCCTGACTTTTCATTTAGGAGCAGGGGAAACCTACTCTTACTGAAATATTTTAAAGGGAGCCATGGAGATTCAGATAAAGAGCTGGTGTGATTATATTACAAAGAGCTCTTGCTCAAATATTAGCTACTTTTGATTCATTACGATTTTGATTTGTTTATAAGCCAAACACAATGGGGTTTTTTTTTGGGTATTAGAACATTTATTCATTCATTTTTGTTTTCTTTCAGCAATTACATTTGTTAGAGCATCTACTTGGGACTAGGTTCTAGGTACCAGACACTCTAGACGTACACTCATTATATTCCTCAATGGCTCCCCATTACCATCAAAATAAAACCAGACACCACAACACAGAGATGGGGCCATTGGTCATGTGGGCCTGATCATCACACCAGCCTGCCAGGACCTATAGGGCAGGGGTCCTGTCTTCCATCCATCTGTCCCTAGTGCCTGGCACATGTTAGGTCCTCCATAAGCGTGTGCTGACCAAATACGTAAATGCATAGATATGATTCATATTCATGCATCTGGTTTCTTTGCAGAATCTACACTCTTTTAAGGAGAGCAGTGTCTTCATCTTTATGTCCCCAGTATTGGGCCTGGCACTTGGTGTTTTTAGAATGAGTGGTAATAAAGCAGGGCTACCTCTGTCTATTGCATGCCCGGGAACCCATATCTTGCAAATGCAGCCAACTTTCAGTTATCAACTTGAATGAAAGACAGCAGGGACATATCATAACTGCATATTCCAGAAGTTGTCAAGTCAGGAGTATGCCCTCTCACGTAAGCTCTTGTCTCCCTCCTTCCTTCTGGGCCCAGATCTGATCACCCCCCAGATCCATGGCCTAGCCTTGGATCCCAGGGGAGCAAGCCATGGGGATACCCAAACTACGGAGGGGGTGCTGGCTGCCACTGAGATGCCCGCCAGGCACGTCTGCAGCCCGGAATGTGCGAGTTCTGAATCTGGGCTGAGTTTGGGACTCACCCTGCAGCAGGCACAGCATGAGGAGGACGGGCGTTTTCCATCCTGCCCTCTGGTTGGTGACCTGCAAAAAAACACCCGGTGAAGAGGCCTGAGAGGAGGCGAGTTCTCTCAGCCTGGTGGGTGGCCCCGGGGGTCCAGGCGAGCCTTTTCTCCCTCTGGGATCTCAGTTTGCTCGGTGCTGGGACTGGATCAGCTCCATCTAAGAGCAGGACAGAAACTGCCCTCTGAGAGAAGCAGGGCTCCATCCTTCCACTCGCTCCCCCCAGGCACCCCGCTCCCCGCCCCGTCCAACACCGGCATGCACATTTGGCTGGGGTCATCGCCACCAAGGCTAGAACGTCCCCTACTCTGGAGCTTTCTGTGTGCAGAGGGGTGCAACACCCTCTACGGGGTACCAGCCCCTGCACCCACTTGCTGGCATGGAGCTCTGGTTTTGGTGGTGCATCATGCAGTGGAAAGACTCCAAGCTTCAAGTTTAAACCTTAGCTGGAATTGAGGAACCTTAGAAAGACTACTCAGCCTTGGCGATTGCCTTCCTCTCCAGGGGAATGGGAGACTGTCGGGGCTGTTGTGCCACCCAAATGAGATGGTCCAGTGACAGTGGGCCTGGGTCAGAGTTGCTCACTTCCCCCCTCTCTCCTCACCCCTTCTCTTTTGCAAAAGGAGAATTGTTTCCTTCAAGGGGAGCTTTCTGTCTCACTGGCAGTGTGCCTCCGGCCACTGACAGGAGTTAAAAATTAACTCTCAGGCCAGCAGTTGCCCACCCGAGGGTCCTATTCTGATTCTTCTCCACAGCTTCTAGGAAGCCCTCTCTGGCCCCCAGGCCACGCTGCTCCTCCCGCTGCTCCGGTCTCTCCCACAGGCCTGGGCAGCTCCTAGAGGATCGGGCTTTGAGCCTCCAGGCTCTGAAAAGAATCCAGCTCTGTGCAGGTGCCCAACGTGCTGCTATTGTGAATGAGAACCGCCCACTATTTTGACAGATACCTTAGTGACCACCACTTAGAGGCCTTTTGTGGCTTGCTGATTAATAACCTTTAATAAAAAAGAATAAGAAAACGAATATATGTACATATAAGCATGACTGGGACATTATACTGTACACCAGAAATCGACACGTTGTAACTGACTATACTTCAATTAAAAATTTTTAAAAGATTAAGAAGAAAAGACAGGAATTGTACACTACACTTCTTTTATAGTCTCCAGGGGGATTTCATGGAGGCTTTTTGAGTGATTAAAAATCTGTTCTTTGAATCTATCTACAGTCCATGGTTCTGGGGACCTATAGATTTTTTTCTAAAGAAAGCAAACTTAAGTTAGCTGGGGTTTTTTCCTTCCTACACTAACACATATCTCACAGAGGTTAAGAACAGGCTCTGATGGTCAGTGGTCAGATTTGGAAAAGCCCAGGGCTCCTCCGCCTCCGGTGCCCTCTTATTTTTAGCATCTCCCCTGCCTTGGGATTGTCATGGCAGCCTGAGGCCTTCCCTGCCTTCCAGAGCTGCTGGCTTCCTGCCCTCACCTGGAGAGCCTGGAGGTTCTCTGGGGTGTGCCTGCCCCTTATCTGTTGTTTGATTAATGTTCACCAAGTCCGGGCTAATTCTGAGGCTGCTGCCCGCGTTCCCTGAGGGTAAGCTTTTCTAAAGCGCGAAGTACTGATGTAGCGCATGCTGGGGCCAAAGTCCCTCGGCCACACCACCCAGTTCCTCTGAAGTCTGCACAAGTGAGTGCTGCTATCTCGGCTTCAGGAGCAAAAGCCGCCTCTGAGGGGCAATGAGGAAGCACAGGGTGTGAGATAAAATGCCTCCAAGGAGTTATCAGCCTTGATTGGAGGCGGCAAGGATAACAGTCAACGGAAAGTCTCCAAGTCACCCACCTGTCAATGACCTTCAGAAAAACCTCTCTCCAGAAGACCGGGAGCCCCATCTTAGTAGCTTGGGGCCACGGGTCTCTGTTACCATGCAAAGCATTTAAGAGTACGAGGCCACATTGGGCAACTCTCTTGTCCCTCAGTCCTGCCTGGGAGGGATCGACCCCATCCATCTCCAGCCAAGACTGGTGTACGACTCCCCAGATCCCTAGTGCCCACCCCCAGCCCTGAGCCCCACTTCTCTTCTCTTATCCCCCACCCCTGGGGTGGCACACAAGAAGGGAAGGAGCCAGTGTGCTGCAGAGGGAGAAGCACAGAACCAGGATTCAGGAGGTTCCGTGTTGCCCATGACCTTGGGCAATGCATCTTTCCTCTCCACTGCAACACAAGAGCCATGCTTCCTTCTCCTTCTAATGCGGCTCTAAAGCATTCAGGGGCCTGTTAAAGAGTCATGCACTCTGGTGGGAGAGAGTAGGGAGGGAGGAGGGAGATGCTGGCCTGAACTCCAGAATCCTCCCCTGGGTCCCCCCAGGAGCCAGGCCAGCTGTTCTCTGGGAAGGGCACTCGGGCACATGCTGGACAGTTCCTGCTGCCAATCACGGTCCACATTCGGAGACAAGCCCCAGCCTCTGGGAGAAAGCTTCACCTCACCTTTTGTTCTCCAGGCTTAGTTGGGGCTTTTCCATCCATCTTAGTCCAGAAAGAAAATCCACTTGGACTTTTCTTTTTCCCTTTTTTGAGATGCTGGTGATTGGATGTCTTCTAGTTTCTTTTCTTTAAACCTTGAGACTGGGTCGGCAGACAGGGGTTAGCACTGGAAGATGGATGTATGGGGCGTAGCCCTGCCACTCACGGCTCCACAAGTCCCATCAAGTCACTTCATGCTGGACCTTGGTTTTTACTTCTTAGAAGAAGGACCCCTGTCCTGGTCTCTTGTTCTTACTGTCACTTATTCCTACAGAACTTTTCCAGAGGTAGTGACAGTAGCTCTGAGGAAAACACACTGACCCACATCCTTCGACCTCTCATTGCCCCTGCAGCCCAGGGTCCCAGCTTTTCAGGATGCCCCAGCTCAGCCGGCCCACTCGGGGTAAGTGATGTAACAACGTGGGCAGGAGAGAAAATTCAGGAGAGGAATTCCCCTGCTGTCTGGCTGGCAGCTGCTGCCTCCAAGCTGACCTGGCCCCTTCAACCCCCCAGGGAGAGGCTGTTTGAGTCCCCAGCTCCAGTTCAGCCGCACGCCTGGTGGTTAACAACTCATGCCCTGGACAAAGCACATGACAGTAAATGAGATGATCTCCATGGAGAGGGAACACTGACAAGTGTGGCTTATCCAGAAGGATGACACACTTCAAAAATACCCCAATATTTCCCTTGGGAAAATATTTCATGAATTGGTTTTTTTAATCCCTGTAGAAGATGTGATCTGCCTGCCTTTGTTGGTTTTAGTTATTTTACTTTTTATTTGTTAATATTTAAAAAAATTAAAGGATATCTTTGCAATTTTTTACATTTTGGTGGGGGGAGGAGAGGTAGTTAGGATTACTTTAATTTATTTACTTTTAATGGAAATACTGGGGATTGAACCCAGGACCTCGTGCATGCTAAGCATGTGCTCTACCACTGAGCTATACTCTCCTCCTTGTTTCAAAGTGACATTAAAATGGCTGGTGGAACCCAAGCACTCAACAACGAAGGGGCTGTAGGGGATAAGTGCTGCAGACTATGGTTAAAGACTCTCACCAGGACCCCTGATAGACTATGTAGCACCCGTGGGCCAATTAGAAAGGGAATTTCTTCCTCAAGAAACAGAAATTCAGCTGGTGTATTGTCCCACTTTGTATAACCACAGAGGCAGCATGTTTGACCTATGCATTTCCCCTTCCAGGCCTGAAGACAGGGCAGGGGTAAGAACTGAGCCACTGAAAGCAATAGGAGAGGAGAAGAAACAACTCTATGGGATGCCTAGAGTGTGGCTGGGACAAGATAGTCTTGTGCATGCCTGTGTGTCAGTGACTGTGCACAGCCGTCCCAGGACTTGGTCACAAGTGCCAGCCCTGGAGCTCCAGGTCTTCACAAACTCCTAGAGCCTCCAGTGTAAGTTAGAACCCATCTACTGTGCAAATGGCATTCCCCCTAGTTGTGGCATGCTTGAGCAGTGCACAACCTGAAGAACTGTTCATGGTGGCCCTGCCTGCAGAGGCTTATCCCCAGAACTGAATGATTCTCATGCAGGTGGTAGAGAGGGTTAATGCCTGGCTAAATTCTCCCCTCCCCGCTCCTCAGAGAGCAGTGTAGCCTCGTGGTTGATCACACAGACGTTGGAGTCAAGACTCCCGCCAAATGAATATCCCGGTCCTACTTTTTGTTGGGAAAGTGATATGAGTCAGATTACTTATCTTCTTTAAACCTCATTTTCGTAATCTGTAAAACAGGAGGATAATAGCACTTGCTTCATAAAGTTATTATGCGAATCAACTCAAAGTGCCTAACGTGCAATAAATTCCCAGTAAATATTAACTGATTATATTAACAGCTTAGCTTACTGCAACAGGGAGCAGGTGTCTTACAACGACCAAACCTTCCCCAAGAAGTCCTTTTTGAAGGTTTTCATCTGTTCAGAGGCCTGCCACTTTGTTATTCTTTTGGCATTTGATCATTTTGGTATTGGAAAGATTAAAGAGAAATCAATTTGTATAAGGACATGTCTGGATGGATCTTGGATTTAACAACAAACATTTGTTAAAGTTTCATTATTTTATAAGCTATACAGGCATTTTACGTTCTAAAGGGTATCTTTTTCTATTCTGTCTACTTTTGAACATTTTGAAGACTCTTTGATTGTAAAAATATAAATTATAGTAAAGTCTGATTAGTTGTGAAGCATGGGCCAGTTTTCAGAGCACTGATCCGGAGCCAAGGTGGTTCCCTCTCCGAAGCTTTATGGGGGAGAAAACGGAGTGCTGGCTACTTCTCTTGGGAGCATAATTGAATTCTCTTGCTCAACACAAAGCCACAAGTGGCTTCTTCCCATAGGTTCATGATACTATGACATTCTAATTATAGGACCCAGACTCTGTAAAAAGGCTACATAATCCTTACACCACATGTCAGATTTGGGAAGAGCTTTACCCATTCCCTGATCCCCTCACCTCCAACCCTCAATCCCAGTTTTAGCAAAGGGTTTTATTTGGCAAATAAACACACAAGAGTGAAAAATCCGCAGATAGAATGCTAAGCAATGCAAGAGGAGAACCATTTGTGCTGTAAAACCATCTGTATTGATCTCTTTCCTCTCTAACACATGTATTCTAATGCATAATGAAGAGCGATGTATAAGGATGCCTTATGTGTCGCTATGAGGTGGTCAACGCTGATCTTCCTCATTATATATCATTGCAAAGTTTTCTGCTTACTCTACCCACACACGTGAGCTTTTTTCTAACCTTGTGTTTTGTGGGAGAGATACCCCCTCCCCCTCCTCCCCTCCCCTAGTTCTGGTTAGAACACTGAATGCTGCTGCTGCTGCAAAAAAACAAACAAAACATTGTTTAAAAACACTTGGATTACTACAAGTGCTTTATCACTTCCTGAGAAACTCATAAAGGAAGGTGAACTATGAGACTTGCCACTCCTCCAAATGATAACAGAATAAAAGTATTTGTACAGCACAAATAATGATTTTACAATGGCAGTAGCAGGCATCTACAATCTCAACCATCACTTGGCTGATAGCAGGAATTACCATCCAGCAATATTCACACCCTCCAAACAGAAGACATTCTATAGGCAGCCAGGAGAGTGCAGAAACGGTGTAAGTTCCTGTATGCGCTGCTGGTAGAAGCACAGAGTAAAGACTCCCAGGGGACTACTCCCTAGATCACAGGAGTACACATGGTGCCTGAGACTTTAGCTGTAATCGTCTCAGGATGTCGATGCAGATGGCTGTGGGAAAACGTGACCAACAGCTCTTAGCATAAACTTTCTACAGTGACTTGAGTGTGGGGATTGAAATAAATATATTTCTTACGGGGTGCGATTATTTGTTTATGATGTTATTTGGAATAGACATTATCCTTGATAATGAATCACTGGCCCTTGCAGGATGGAAGGGGTCCCAGATGACCATGGGGAAGGCAGCTGGCCCCTGCAAGGAGTGGTGCTTCATGGGGGGCTCGGCGTTCAGCTCTGTTGCTGGCAGGTTGGAGGCTCCTTGGCAGCAGGGCTCACCTCAGCCTTGGTTAGTGGGAACCCCGCCACTTGTGGGAGCCCGTAGTCCATCCCTCTGTGACTACTTCCCTCTGGTGTCCATTGTGCCAGCACCATGGTGGCCAATGCCTAGAGTTGGCTGATGTCAAATGGTCAAGTCATTCTGTCTGCTTGGTAATTTGATCTCTTTCATGGTGGGTACTCTCTGGCGGGCGTTAGTCTATGATACAAAGAGCTTCACGCTTCATCCTGCTCCTGAGTCCATCCACGGGCATCTCATCAATCTTCCAATCTTTCCATTTCCAGCTGTCTATGTGTATTCTAACATCAGGCCATTTTTCCTTTCGCACAAAGCAGCTGGCCAGGTGCACTGCCCAAGGCTCTGTTAATTGGAAGAACTTTCTCTTGTCATTATTGTTCAAGGGCACTTCTCACAACACATCTACTGCTCACTTTCAACTTGAACCAACTCAACCACAAAAGAAGTCTGGGTTTTGTTTCCTCTGCCACTTGGTTATAAGGTGTGCTTCTACGCGGCCCCTAGGGAGCTGAGGAAGGGGCAGCGGGGCCCAGGGGAAGTAAAGATGAGGGGCTAGGCTGCTTATTCATGCAACTGGCTTGTGACCTCAAGTCCTTATCGTGCCTGGTCCCAGCTGCACCGCTTCTCACTTATGGCCTGCTGCTGGCCTACGCGACCTTGTGACTCGGTGAGTGTAACAGCTCTCATTTCCAGGTGCACACTCTCTGGTGCCTGTGTTCAGGTGTTATGTCTCTCCCAGGGCTCAGTATCACGCCAACAGACATGCACCATTCTCCCTTGCAGATGGCATGGCCTTGCAAGAGATGCACTGGGGACTATGTGACAAGGTTGTGATTCCCCCACTGGCGCTTGCCATAAACTCCACATGGCATCTTTTCCCAGCCTTTACCACTAAGCGGCAGGACCGCTTCCATCTCAGCCTGGACCTGCTGCAGAACCCTCTCCTGATCTGGGCCCTGCTCTGAGATAGAAGCATTTCATGCCACGTGGTGTATGGGCTAAAGCAGCACTTCCACTGTCAGCATTTTCCTGACATGTTTGCTGCTTCCTTCATTGTGGGTGGAGGTGCAGGATGGACCTTGTCTTCCACTTGGGATGAGGACTCCTGGCAGGCCTCTGGTCGCTGGACCCCTAAACATCTTGCCGATGTGGCAGTCCCCTGGAATCTCCCTAGTGTTTCCGTCCTATTCTCTGAGGCGTGAGCACCTTACGAGGCCTCCAGCGTGGTAGCCACTTCTTGCTCACATGGCCCGATTAGCATAATACTGTCAATAAATAATAGATGGATGTGACATTCTTCAGGATGTCCAGATGGTCCAGATCCCTTCGTGCTATATTATGACAGAGGGCACAGGAGTTAACATGGCCTTGGGACAGCATTGTAAATGTATGTTGTTATTCACCTTCTAAATGCAAATGGTCTCTAATTCTCTCCTCCGGAGGGAATAGCAAATAATGCTCCCCTAAATCAAGGCTTCCAACCACGGGCCCGAGGCCACGTCAAATCTGCTGGAGTAGATAAACAGATACAGTGTCTGAAATTGGGGCTAGCCATTGGTTGAGTTTGCATTAGTTTGTTGTCATCCTCCAGGACCTCTGCAGGGGTCAAAAATTGAATTAACAGAGATATTTTGGGAACTGATAGTCTGCATCCTTAAGATCCTTAAAAGTGGTACCAATAGCAACAGTTCCTCCCTGTCATGCCTCATGGTTTTGTATTTATTTTCTTGGCTGAGGACGGGGCAGATTCTCAGGCTTCCTCTTGGTCTTCCCGCTCTGACGGCGCATATCCCACAAGCCTAAGACCCAGTGATCCAACTACCAGCATGTCAACCCCAGTTACACGTGCTGGGGCTGAGGGGCTGAC